TTCACTGGCAGCAGAAAGGTGGAGAACTGCTGGTTTATGACATTTTTCAAAGCAGCTGTCGTACTTGCAGAGTTCTGGGTCCCAGTCCATGGTGTGAATATTAAACAGCATGGTCCTGCTGGCGTTGGTCACGTCAGTGCAGTGGACTCCGCCTGACTTGCCTCCTGTCAAACACTGTCATCAAATAAACACAAGAAGTCAGATTCTAACCATCCCTACATATACGATTAGCTTCACTTGGGATCTGTAGAGGCGGGATTACCCAGATGAGCCAGGAGTCGACGGTGCCGAACATGGCGCGGTGAGACACGACGGCTTCGTGGACCTCTTTCACGTTGTCCATCAGCCAGCGAAGTTTGACGGCGCTGAAGTAAGTGCTGATGGGGAGCCCGGTTTTATGCTGCAGGACGACAATGACAGAAATCAGGAAAAGTCCTAAACCACCTCTGAACCATTCTACCTGAAACTGAAACCTGAACTCGACCTGAAGAACAGGAACTAAAAAGCAAAACGAAACAAAGGCGAGGGAACAGAAATAGAGCTCACCTTCAAGTGGTTCTTGTTCCTTCCTGGAGTTTTGTTAATAAGACTTTCAACTGTTGATTGAGTTCGCAGGTCCAGCCACACTGAATAAACATACTGCAGTTATTATATGGCACCAAAAATCACATCGAAACAAATCACTACTGTTTTTAAAGCACATGTAAAGTAACTCCGGTGCAACAAAGTGATTCATAGGAACAGAAATCAGATATAAATAAACCTAACAAGCTTAATATATTGAAATTAAGACCCTACAGCGTTACTAATGATGAGCAATTTTAATTCTAAAGAGCAGAAGCGTCCAAAAAACGACATAAAATACAACTTATACCTCACAACAATAAATATTAAGGCTCAGAGCCAGTATTCAGGATCGCTAATCTGGATACCAACCTCTCTAAAGTCATGAAAAATCACACAAATCCAACAACCATGTACATAAATGCAGCTTTGAAGCCTCTCGTATGATGTTTGATGCTGCAGGTATTTAATAAACTCAAAAAAAAAGCCTCCTACAAACAGCTAGAAGCAAAAAAATTAGCTTCAGCAGTCGTCTTTAGTTAAAACCAAGATTACAATCATGAGTGAGTCCCATTAATCCGACCTGTTCTGGCTTTATTGCAGTATTTATTGAATTTATGGACATTTCAGTTTGTTGTAGATGTAAAATTGTTGAGCAAAAAAACATGTTTAGTGGTTTCGGCACATGAATTATGTCTTTTGTGCTCTAACGGTGCCACCATTCGGAAAAAGCCTTCGCCAAATTACTTCACACAACTCAAAGTACGTGGTGTTCTTGTGTGTGTCTGTAAATCCATTCCTAAGGGCAGCTCATTCACATGTGAAGCCGACAGGTTCAGGTGTCGCCCGTTTAATGGAAAGGAGTCTGAAAGAGGTTTTTCTTTGTGCCAGAATAAATGCAAATGAAGCAATGACTCCAGCTGGTAGAACTTTACCGATTGCATTGTAGAGGGGCTCCCCGGTCTCTTTGTCCCAAACCAGCGTGGTCTCTCGTTGGTTGGTCACTCCGATAGCTGCACAAATTCAAGCAACATTTCACAAAGGTCACTCATCATACTGTGGAAATGGTGCTCAGCGTTAACAGTGGCCCCTGTGCATGAATACCTTTAATGTTTGAGATGTCGATGTTGAGCTGTGTCAGTTTTTCACACGTCCGCTCCATACACTCGTATACCGACTGCAGGATTTCGTTGGGATCTTCCTCGACCCATCTGAAAACCAAAACAAAAAAAATAATCACACATTTCTGAACTGTGAGTGCATCTTTTATGAAGCATCCGGCAGGACACACCTTATAATTACTCTGCAGAGCGGAGCGGTGAGTCATGCTGTGAAAAAAAGATTTTATGACATTCAGTGTTTTCTGCTTACCCTTCTTTGGGGAAGCTCTGTTTGATTTCCACTTGATGGTGGCTGAGGAGCTCTGCTGTTTTTGAATTGAACACCTTGAAAGAGAGAAAACAGCACAAGAGAACATAGCTTCAGCCAGCTCCACATGACATTAGTATTCATGTGCAGAGGAAGCGCTAACAGGGTGTACAGTCATGGTAAAGCTTGAGGCCTCCTTTCCTGCTTTCCTCCTGATTCCAATTTCCTCTTTACATTTTCCCTGCAGTTGTGACATTCAAACTGACATCCTTTATATCCTAAACCTGCTTTTCAAGACTCAAGGCGGTTTTCCTTCACACAAAAAGATTCAACAGTAGTTTTGACTCTTGTCATAACAAGCCATGATATAAAGCTGTGAGGGAAAGCGTGTTTTATCTGGTGCATCTTCAGACACACCTGCAAGAATTATTTACTGAAAAATAAAGCACTGGAGAGGAGACGAAACACCAACACTGTTAGAGGCAGCAAGGCAACAAACGATCGCGCACAGCAGCAGTCAAACTATGCAAAGCTTTTCACAGGACAATTATCACCGTCCAGAATACCTCCGCACATGTCATGTGGCATTCAGCCGAAATGAGAAGCCACAGATGGTGCCGAAACATTACAAAGTCCAATTAATGAGACACTGAGCTGCAAATCTTCAACAATTTAACCGCATATTTACGTCTAAAGCTCAAGAACAAAAACTCACGAGTAGGGCAGTTTTTTCTATCAACCAAAGCCAAAAAATAAATTCAATCATCCAGGAGAAAGAATTGAGTTAGAGAGCTGTCTGACCACTCCACATCTGTTAGAAATCTCATACAATTTTTAAATGTAAAAATCAAATTAAAACCTGGATTCACCAGGAGAAGTTCAACAATTAATTGATTAAGTGAACAGTTGCCAAATAATAAATTGATAAATCATTTTAAAGTAGTTTGTTGAGTATTTTCTCGTTTCTTTGACTCCTTTATGACAGTTAAATGAATATATTTGGGTCATAAACTAAACATTTGTCATATTAGGCTTTGGGAAACCCTGACGAACATTTGTCAGCATTTTCTAACATTTTATAGACCAAACAACTCATAGATTAATATAGAAAAGATTAATGAACAATGAAAACAATGCCTGGCTGGTACAGGCTCATTTTCTATGGACTCAGTAAAAAAAAAAAAAAAAAAAAGATAATTTCATTTATGCTTTTTTTTCTGGTAAATCAATAACATTTCTATATCTTTTTTTCACAATTTCAAAGAGAAACTATTCTGACAAAATGTAAACAGACTATTTCTATCAAACTCCAGATTTTAGTGGTGCTGTTAAACCTAATATCACATCATAGCTATTTCAGAAGAAAAATGAGTGAAGAGACAAAAGTATTTGTCTCCTTAGCTGTTAAAAGCTTCAGCCAGAGGGCGACCACCTTCTGTCCATCCTCTTTAAGGCTTATTAGGATGACCTAAAGTCAGCATGAATGGGAACTATGAACTGACAGCTTTTCAAAGCAGCAACATGACTAATTGAGCAGAAAAAAGGACTCCAAATATTTGTTTTAAACCGTCACTGTCACCATTTGCAGGTTTAGTTGAAACGACAGAAGCTGGCGTGTCCACCCAAGGACACTATCAGCTGCAGATATTAAATATAACCCAGCCGGCTCGTCCTGGGGTTACTCCCGTTCGTCTTACCAAGAACCTGGTGGAGCTCGTCCCCTGGTCGATGGCAGCAACCAGCGGCCCCAGCATTATCCGGTGTGAGGACGCGGCCATGGTGCCGTTCATGGGCAGCTCCGGAGCTTAGGCACGGAACTGGGCAAGAAACCGATTAGCAGCACCGGCAAAGCGGCTCAGGCTCAGCCAAAGACGGGCGGTCGGTCGCTCGGTCGCGGCTTTCACACGTAACGCTCGTCCGGGCCTTTAGTGATGACGCAACCACCTGTACCGTTGCGACAGCAACGCAGATATCGGCACAAATTCTAATTCCAAACTGGAATTAAGCTGTTTTCTGGTTAACTTGACCTTATTTATTTTCCTTTATTCGTCACTTTCAGAGACGTTTTAAATATTTGCTAGGGTTTTTTTCATGCAATGCTAACACGCTGTGATTACTGTAATTGCAAAGTTTTCACTTAAAATAAAAAGAGAGTTTACCTGTGGTTTGTAATATACAATCGACTGTTAACCATACAATCTATAAATCAAAGAGAATTCAACTGCAAGGAAGAAAAGGAGAAGTTCCCATACCGGGAGTCGAACCCGGGCCGCCTGGGTGAAAACCAGGAATCCTAACCGCTAGACCATATGGGACACTGTACGAAGACAGAAAAAATAAGCCGTCATATCATTTATAACACTACGAGGTATCTTCAACTCAGAGGGTGGAGTTACAGGACAAAACATAATTACAAACTTCATTATGTAAGCGGTTTGTTTTGTATGTAGCGTCTGTGCAAACACCTACTTTGAGTATCTTTATTATTTCACCTGATTATGCTTAAATCAAATTACAAACCAATCATGAGGCTGGATTGTATTCCAGAGTCAAAATTGTAAGATATGTGGGGATCAACACTTACATACAAAACCTCACACACATTTACAAGCATACACTAAAGAAACTGAGCATCAATGTGGGCCATAATTCAGTTTAACATCTGGGCTGTTTTATTCAGCCCTTAATGACAAACTTACATATATCTGTCACTATTGTCTTCCATTTATGATACTAACTTTATATCATGTACCATGTTTTGCCCTGAGTGACGGTTGATTTTAGTATATTTAAAGCAACATTTCCCACTTTTACAGAGCCACAAAAAAAACAACCTATTATGAGGTTTTCCCTGCCTGTGGTCCCCGAGGATCCAGGTTTCTGTCCTGTGTGTCTTCAGTAGGTGGCAATAAAACATAAAAATAAATAAATAAATAAAACATCCAAGAGATTTTGCTCGACTTTATAAAGAAAACCGCAGGTCTTGGCGACCATGTAGCTTGTTAGATAGATAGATTTTTAAACGGTTTTTAAATTATTTGTTTTCAGTGTTTTTTCTAGCTTGTGTTTTCAGCTTGAAGGCTCGTTTTCACGGCGACTGTTGATGACGCAATCAACAACGGACAGTGTTGTCATTCTTGAAATGTGGGAAGCGGTTGTCTTCACATTTGGTTCATTTTGAATTCTTTCTTGTGTTTTGACCACATCGACTGAAAATGTAAGTAATGAGCTACACTTGGAGGTTTTTATCTATGCGATATATAATACAGTCAGCTAATTATTGAGCTCTAAGCAAAAATCCAGCCATTTAGCCACGTTAGCTGTCCAGGCTAAAGCAGTCATTCATGTTTTGTTCCCTGCTAACGGTTTTGTGCGTTTTCAGGGCTGACTACTGGAAGTCACAACCAAGGAAATTCTGCCAGTACTGCAAGTGCTGGATTGCAGACAATAAGCCTGTAAGTGGACCAGAAAACGCAGTTCATGTTGGTGAGGACAGTGTCCACACGTTATGCTCATGTAGCTCATGTTTGTTTTGCTCTGCAGAGCATTGAGTTCCACGAAAGAGGGAAGAACCACAAAGAAAATGTGGCTGCCAAAATTACAGAGGTATTGACATTTATTTAATTATTTATTTTTCTGTGTTTGAGCGGGGAGGAGGTTACAACACCTATCTGGAGTGCATTATTTCATTAAAATGATCAATATTTCTGTTTTAAGGATTTTTGCCAATCACTTACTTTTCTGTTCTAGTTTTATTTTGGCTTATTTTTGTTTTCACTAATTCAGCATACTTATGTCTTATCACTATTCTGTCAGCCACTGCTGTTAGTGTCGTGTTTCTGTATTTTTTCTTAAGTATATCTAGCACAAAAAAATATTTAGGGATTGATAATGTTCTGTCTTATCTCAATAAATGAGCAACAAAGCCTGCAGTGTAAATGTGCTCCCTATTTTCTGTGAATTCGATTAAGCCCTATACTCTCCTTTAATTTGGCTCTAATTTAGCTAATTAAAGGCTCTCCTTTAATTTGTCTAGATCTTTATGGTAACTTATGTTTGAGATGTAAATGGGCTTGAAGAAAGCTCATCCCTTTGCCAACTCTTTTTCTGACCATATTCAACATCAGTTAAGTTTGTGCAGCAGAACAGTCACGAGTCTGATGGTTCAAAACGAAAGTTGATAACAAACATATTTGATTGGGGTTTTAGGTTTTGTCAAGCCAGCTAACATCAAGAAAGCCTGGCTTTGTCAAACTTGCTTCATAGAACAGCCATCAGGTCCTCTGTCTGCTTCTCTCTTGAAAACACACAGTTTTCAAGATGCAGATTATACTTGCACATTAATAAAGGTTGTCAGTGACACACACACACACACAAAATGAATACTAACAGCTTAAAAAAAACAAAAAAAAACACACCAGCCTTGGCACCGTTCTCAGGACTGTTGACAGAGATAAGGTCCCACTGACTGTAGAGCTGCGTTCTTATTGGCTACTTGCCGCTGCCACTCATCTCCCCCTATCTTTCTTTCTGCAGATTAAAAAGAAAAGCATTGAAAAGGCAAAGCAGGAGGAACGTATGTCAAAACAGTTTGCAGCGATGGAGGAAGCTGCGCTGAAGGCATATGAGGAAGATTTGAAAAGGATGGAAAGAGAATCCGAAGGTATTTGTTGGACCGTTTGCTAATATAGTCTGTAACCTGGAGTTGCACAGAGGGAGATTCTGCTCTTTGAGTATATTTAATTCAAGTATATTTGTGTAAGGATCAAGTTCTCCAGTCCAAGCAACACCTCAGCCAAAACCTCAGCCGAAACCGCAGGTGAAACCACAGTCCAAGAAACAACAAAAGAAAGAAGCAAAAGCGCACAAGAAGGCGAGACAGCAAACAGAAATGGAGGTTTGGGTTGAAGGCCTTTCAGATGATGGACACACGTATTACTACAACACAGTAACTGGAGGTGAGGAAACCTGAAGTCACACCTCCTCTTTGACCAGCATAGTTTACAATATTTGATATCCATAGTTCTGGTGTTACATTGTCTATGTATTCTACCAACAGAATCTCAATGGGAAGCACCAGCGGGTTTCCAGGGACAGAGTTCAGCCTCTGTACAGTCTGAACAGCCTGAGGTCAGTTTCTACACATTTTCAGTTTTCATATTCAACTTCTTTTCAACTAGATATGATGCTCTGTTGTGTGCATTGATATGTTAATGCTGCGTTTGCTTTTAGAGTTCATCAGGCTGTGCTTGGATGGAGGCTGTCAGTCCTGAGGGTTTTACATATTACTACAACACAGAAACTGGAGGTAGAGTATGTTTTTATGCAACTCAGTTTCATTCTAACTACCCCTGAAATGATTTAAACTGTTCTGGATTCTGTTTCCCATTCTGTATGGAGATAACCCCTGGTAAACACGGTCATTATTTCTCACCTCTTAGAGTCCAGCTGGGAGAAGCCATCAGACTATCCTCTTGAGCCACCTGGAACCAGCTCTGGGCCCATCATAGAGGCAGAGAGCCAGGCAGAGAGTCAAGAGGGGAGTCAGGAGGAGCCTTCAAACCCTCAGCCAGAGCCTCTCTCAGGAGAAGAGGAGAGCTCCAACGGGGCATCAGCATCTCAGGAGGCTGAAGTTCCTGAACAAGCCAGCCAGCAGCCCAAAGTCCCAAAGATCAGCTTCAGGGTAAGAGGAGTCTGGGCACTGAATGAGAAAGATGATTGTGTAAATAAAATAAAATTAATGCAGACATGACAGCTGCTGTCCTTTTTTTGTTTGTTTTCAGAAAAGGAAAGCAGAGGCAGAGCCTTCAGAAAAAGAGGGAGAAGACAAAGCCAGTGATGATGCTCCTAAAGAGGAAGATAAAGAGGCAAAGAAAGAGGAAGAGGCTCAAAGCTCAACAGCTGAACCTGAGAAGACAGAGGAACCGGTGACACAACGGGTGGTACAAGCCAAAAGGCCCAAAACTGCAAATCCATATGGGGTTTGGGAAAAGATCCAGGAAGAGGAGGATCCATAGTAAGTGTTCCATCTATAGGTGAAGAGTTCCAATATATTTAGGCATTGAATGCATACTGAGATCGTGATGAGGTGCAGCCGACAGAATCCATCAAAGACTAGATACAGGTGCTAGAAGCTATTAAAAAGTCTCTTTTTTCCCCCTTCAGTGCAAAAGTGGACCTACAGTTGCCCCAGGTGGAGGGAACCACAGCCAGCGCTCCAGCCGAGCTGCCACCGGAGCCGAAGCCGAAGTTCAAGGAACGTGTCATCACCTCGCTGGGAGAGGAAGGCGGACCTGCTTCATTCAGGAAAAACAAGACGCAGAACGGCAAATCCAGGAGCCTCCGACAGAGAGACAATGACGACTGACCGCAGCACACGAACACCTCAAAGCCAGAATGCAGCAGGATGAGACTTCAACGCAAGAAACATTTGGACTTTTTGATGCACCACTTTGATCTCTGAAGATGCACATGTAGAAACATTTTTATGACCAATTGGTGAGAAACTTTAAAACCAATGTTTCTTTAAAAAAAACAAAACAAAACAATCAAACCCTAAAAAAAAAAAATCGACCACTGGACACACTTGGTGTTCTTTTTTGTACTGATTTGTGTCATGACAGTGTGTAACACTTACAGAATTGGATATTATCTCAGTGTCCCATTGTCATAACTTTGTTAATATGAAGACATTTCTTCCTGTAGTCTGGTGTAACTATACAAAGCAATTCAAGTACGTTTTTGTAACTCCATATCTATTTTTTTTACCAGTGTAAAAGCTAGTGAGGCATTCTTGTGGAAACAGCGTTGCAGTATTTGCCAGCTAAAGTAGACTTTTGTGAAGCAGTGTGGATAGAAATGATTAAAAAGACGAGAAAATGTGATGAGAATAAATGATTATTGTCCTGATACTGAAAATGCAATTTTGTCTGAAATATTATTTTGGAAACACAGGTTCAGGTTCACTCAACTATGGGGAAGAAAACATTAATTTATAACGACCTGAAATGACTGCAGAGAAATATTGGAGTTTGTTGGTCAGCTGGCACACACATGCAGGGTGTGGATTGCTATTGGCGAGTGTGTGCATGAAGCTGATAGGTGGTTCACCGCACCCTGATTGGCAAAGAACCACGGGGGATACTTGCAGACAATAAATAGCGCTGGCATCTATTGATATTTAACAGTCAGCTTTACAGTACTTTACTGCAATAGTGTGCGGCTAAAGTTTTAAATAGAGAATTATAATGACACAAAAGTTATAAGTTAAGTTTTATTACAAAAATAAAAACCTCTTAAATATGCTCTCCAAGTTGTCTTACATCGCTTCAGTTACAACATGGCCAATGAACAATCATTAATGTTAAAATGTCCCGATATGCAGCCCCAGTGATGTTGAGAAATCCATCCACCAAATAACGTACTGTGTGTTTGGTAAGTCGCGGTGGCTGTTACTCTGCAGAGTGTCCAGAATCTGGTTGTTTCAGGATGACGCTGCTCTCCGCCACCTCCATCAGAGCCTCCCTCTCCGTGTGTTCATGTACGTCACAGATCAGGTCGTCCAGAGCTTCTCCTCCTCTCATGAACTCCTAAACACAACCACAACGTGTGATTACAACTCATGACAAAGCGGTTTCTTATGATTCATGCATAATTTGGAGAAACACTTCCTTTATGTCTAACCTTTATATCTCTAGTTGTGTAACCAGTGCGGTGATCTGTGACGCGATCCTGGCTGAAGTTGTAGGTACGAATCCTGTCCGACTGAGAGCGTGTGCCCACCTGTATTAAGAAACGTAATGAAGACGCCGCTACAAAGGACTGACATCTATCGTGCACATTTTCCTGGTTTGCTCACCTGCTGCCTTCGTGCTTTATCTCTCTGCTCGACCTCTTTACCCATAACGCTCTGGTACAGCCTGGCCCTCAGCACTTGCATGGCGGTGTCTCTGTTTTTCAGCTGCGAGCGAGTCTGCTGACACTCAGCAGTTACACCTGTCAGGAGGAAGAGATGAAAACAGATAGCAGCAAGGACTGATGTTTGTTTGACATGAGAACTGGAGTGTTTCTACATGCTCCAAAATCCTCAAAACCTGGAGAAACTAAAAAAACTCTACCTGTAGGAAGATGAACTATCCGCACTGCACTGTCTGTTGTGTTGACGCTTTGGCCTCCAGCGCCTCGAGATCTGAACGTGTCGATGCGAAGATCCTTTGGGTCAATGTGGACGTCGAACTAAGAACACAAAACACACAACGCAAACATTGAGACATACGTTTTAAGCCACTTAATCCGAGGTACTGATGAAAAAGCAGAGACGAGAGCAGAGGTTACCTCCACTGGCTGAGGTAGGATGATGACCGTCATGGTTCCTGTGTGGATCCGCTGCATCCTGGAGGAGAGGCCGACCTCAGGGATCCTTTGCACCCGGTGTGTTCCTCCTTCATGCTTCATGTGTCTGTACACATTCTCACCGGCTATTCTTACAGCTGCATGGTGCAAACCACCTGAGAGACACAATTCATACTGCTGCTTCAAATACTGCAAGCGCTTTTACCATTTCTTCAAGGTTCAAGGAAATCTTAATTAGCCCAATTTGTCCAACAGTCAGCAGTACACCACAATCTTTTACTTTCTGGTGGTAGAAGTGACATTTGTATGCTAATTTTAAATATCTTTAAAGCAAGTTTGGCAAGTTACAATCCGTATCTTCACATGTAGACTGAATTTCTACATACTGAAAAAGAAAATGTCATTCCCCATTTCAGGTATCAACAAATGCATTTCTGACATGTCCAACATATTAACAAACTATTTCAGTTATCTCAACATCATTAGTATATAAATTCAGTTATGTATTATTTAGGATGTCTGCTACTAATTATATAAGAAATTGTAGAGACTGTGACAATAACTGTCACTTGTACGAATATAGTTGCGCTATATCTCTCTTATGTGCCACCAAAGAGGAAAGGAAAGCTTTGAAAATACGTTTTTGATGTGCACTGAACCTAAAAGCACAATGACGCAGAAATACAGACAAAAATGTGACTCACCATAGTCTGCAGGTGTGTAGTTGAAAACTTTAAAGTCCCAGTTCTTGTAATCGGCAAAACCCTGGTACATGTCGAACATTTCTCTGGCGAACTGCTGACAGATGTCACCTGAAACCACACAAACAGATGTTAAGAAGTGTAGGAAAACATACTGCACGTTGTTGTTGATGCAGCAGCTCAGTATCACATATTTAAAGTACTATCCTGTCTGAAATTACAAAAATGTGTTTGCTTTCCTTCCCACCTCCCGTTGTTCGTCCTGATACGACCTCCAGCAGAACATTACTGGAGTCAAGAGGGTCAGTGGGCACAAGAGCTCTGATCATCTGCAGAGAAAGGAGACACTTTATTAACACACAATGACCAGTAACAGGCTTCAGTCAGAGAAGCTCCAGGACTGGTGTCACAAAAGATGTATTTCAAACTACAAACTAGGAGTTTTCCCCTTCAGACGATCAACCAGCACGTCTATGAAGAGATCCTGCAGCGTTTGCTTCGTTCAGTGTTGTGGCAGGACAAGTGGTGGCTGCTCCACCATGACAACGCGTAAGCTCACAATGCCCTGAGCATCCGACAGTTCCTGGCTGAGAAGAAGATCTCCATGCTGGAGCAACCTCCCTGCTCACCCCACCTGACTCCGTGGGATTGTTTCCTCTTCCCCAAGCTCAAGGGGGTCATCAAGGGGACCCGTTTTGAAGACGACATCAGGATGGCTGTGACGACAGAGCTGAGGAGGATCCCGGAAAAATCCTTCCAGGAGTGCATGGCGGCGTGAAGGCAGAGAAGGCTGGGGAAGTGGGTTAGACTCCAGGGGGATAACTTCGAAGGGGGAAACTTGTAGTTTGGATTTGAAATACATCTTTTGTGACACCACTCCTGGAACTTTTCTGACACACCTCGTATATTTCATCATGCTTACATCTTGTCTTAAGGCCAAAATCTTGCTGGAGATCTGTGCTTCCTCCTCTTTCAACAGCTGGGTCAGCTGTTTGTCTTCATCTTTGGTGCCAGCTGAACCTGTAGTCAGCGGGGAAAGCAGGACGTGGTGTTTGCATATTTACATCTGCATGACACACTAAAAACAGATCAACATGGACACTAAGTGTGATTAGTAAGACAGACTATGATCATGTTGTACTATAAATTAGTAGTTTGTCAGACTTCTAGGCAACCTAAGAAACACATCAAGGTCCCTGTGGCCTGAATGTGACCTTCAATCAGTTATTACATTTATTTATGACTTCTGTTTCTCTATTTTGACAAACATTACTGCCCCCCCAAAAAAGAAAACACTCACTATGCACAAGCGAACGAACTTCCTCGAGGTCTTTCAGGGCTTGTTCAATACTCCCAGACACATTAGCCAGAGGCAGCAGCTCTGTGTGTTTCTTAATGAGGACTTTCCTGTCTGACTCGCTGAAGTGAGCATGCTGTAACTTCTTGCTCAGGTCTCTATACTCCTCCATGAGCTGCTCAAGATACCTCTGAACACACTCGTTTTTGTACAACTCCCCCAAACCACTGTGAGAGAAGCGTGTCGAGGCTACTGTACCCCAGTGCTGCACCTCTGTCATGTTAGCATATCTCAGTGTCCTCCATGCTCTAATTCCTCCTCCGCCGCTGTAAACTACACGGCAACACAAAGAGCACAGCCGGAGACGGCGACTGACGAGCATTTGACTCTATTTAATTAGCAACGAGTGACATAAAACACTATTTATACGTGCTATTCACGTGTTAACAAGGAGGACATTGCTACTGTAGCTAGCTGTAAGAGACCAGATGTAACCTGGGAAACGAGGTGAGGAAGAAGTGAACTCTGGGAAATGTAGTTTTATATGTCGGCGGTTAGCTGCGTGTGAACTGGGGAATAAAATAAAGCATTTTCTGTCGCCTTTCATAGGCTTAGTTACTGAAATACGATTTAAAAAAAAATAATTGTACGGTATTTTTTTATATTTACTTAATATCGCACTAGTTACCACATTAAGTGGTTCTAAAATTGACACTTACGCGAGTGTTAGCTAACAAGTGTTAGCTGAATGACTACTAGCTGCTAGCGCTAGCGGAAGTAGCTAACTGAGGTCAACATGTCAGATTTGAAAGCCAGTGAAGAAGGTGAGATTAAATAAGCTAATTACATAGTTAAATGTCTTTAATATTATTTAAATTATATATGTACATTTGCTCTTTAAGTTTTTTTCCCTAAAAAGAACCATAATGTATATTTAACTATAAAAACATGAATGTATTCGGAAGTTATCCAGTGTGCTAGTTTAGCTGTAGCTGTAGCTCAATTAGCTCCATGTTTAAACTTTTTATGAGTTCAAAGTTTACAGCTGAGCTCTAATTTCTTGGCCCCCATTGTATAAATGAAGATGTAATTTCTAACTACATTAACAGTGAGTTGGTTTGACAGAAGGCCTTTTATTAACAATTTGTCAGGGTTTCAGGAACAACCTGGGTGTTCATTGACCAAAGCAGTGGAGGACGTCAGTCAACAGGGCTACGCTCAGTCGGAGGCCCTGAGAGACAAACAGAGGACGCTCAGCGCTCTGCAGGTTCATCATTAACCCTCCTAACAGCACAACATAACACCTAATTATTCTCTCCATTATGCACATGAAACACTTTCTAGCTTTTTAATATATAAGGAGTTATTACTAGTGGTACTGACAGCAGTAGAAGCTGTAGAATCAAAGTGGTAATTTCATCTACAGCCAATACTGTTGTGGTACTTTTTAGAAATTAGTGTACTGATCATAAGTGGAAGAAAAAAAAGTGTTTCACAGTCTTGGGAGTCTGAAACACATCAAATATGCAGGAGTATTTTTTTTTGTAAAAAAAATACTGTAGTCCCAAAATTACATTACGTGTTTATATTTTGTTGTTTCCACCATTAAAAAAAGTTTGTTTTGAGAAATATGTTGTGCCCCACATTGAGATTTCTATTGTAGTTACAGAAAGTTTAGTGGTTTTATTGTTGATATGTAAATCTAACATTAAAAAAATCTGTAATTTTACTGAATTTTTCCTTTTTATTTTACAAATTTTCCCCCCATATTTTTTAAAGACACAAAAATATCAATAAAGTGACAGACTGTGCTTTTACATGCACAATGTTAAATAACATGGAATAGCTGTGAGTAACCTTTCAATTTCCGCTTTGAAAAGCAAAAGGCCATTAAAATATTAGATTTAAAATATTGAAAAAGTTTATTGTGATTTCACAAATACTTCATTTTTTAGTTACAGATTTTTCTTCTTTTTTTGGCGCCACAGCTGCTGATATAGCACAGTTTCTTTCTTCTTCTTCTTTTTTTACAGTGCAGACTAATTTTCTGACAATAGGTCAGTCAGTACAATACTGATTCAGCAATTCAACGCAATCAATGCTGTAATCGCTGTTCGGAAAAACACTGATTTTGATTTCAAATTTTGCAGAGCTGTGAGTGCTTATAATCTGATAGCTTATTTATTAAAGGCCTTTGCACGTCCAGCTTGGATGCTTTGGTTTTAACATGTTATGCCTCCTTTTCCAGGCGACACTGTCAGCTGTTGAGGAGAAAGCTGAGGTGGCAGAGCAGGAGCTGAGATCTAAAGTGAGGGAATTCCTGATGTTGGAGGGGGAGCTGGAGCAGCTGGAGAGGCAGACAAAAGTCCTGCACGATCGCTGTACATCCATCAGCAAGGGAAACGCTGACCTTCAGATGTTTATTCGAGAGGAGGAGGAGGTGGCTCGCACGGCACTGGCCCAGTTCAGCGCTTACCGAAACAAGATGGAGGGTCACAGAGCTGCTGTTTTGTATGCAGCGAGCCAAACAGAGGCCCACAAAGAGCTGGAGGAGAAGAAAGCATTGGTCCGGATGTTGACACAAAAGAAAGAGGAGCTGAAGGAAGATTTAGAGAATCCAAATGGAAACACTGTACAGATGGCAAAGGTGGAAGCACAACACATCCATTGTTTTCCTAAATGTTTTGCTTCTTTATTGTTTTGTTGGTTCCTTCGACACCTCCAGCATCAATCACTGTTTTTATACATTTTCTGCAGAGTGAGATTAATGCTCTAAAGAAGGAGATCTCTATGAGGAGGACGACGATAGCGGAGAGGAGGGAGCAACTGCAAAAAGAGACTGAGCTTCATGGCCAGATAAGGAAAGAGATAGAGGTACTGCAAAGAGGAGCTGTGCATTTATTGACCATTTATGCGAGAACTACAGCAGACATTCAGTTCATGTGCAGATTTAAGTACAACCATAAAAAACTGTGGAAAAGACTTCCAAGGTGCATGAGAGCATTTTCAAATCCATCCATCCATCCATTATCTATACACTGCTTAATCCTCACTAGGGTCATGGGGGGCTGGAGTCTATCCCAGCTGATTCAGGGTGAAGGCAGGTTCACCTGGACAGGTCACCAGTCTATCACAGGGCTACACTTAGAGACAGACAACCAAGCACACTCACATTCACACCTACGGACAATTTAGAATCACCAATTAACCTCAACATGTTTCTGGATCTTGTGGGAGGAAGCCAGAGAACCCGGAGAGATCCCACGCTGCACGGAGAAAACAGTGACTCCCTGCAGAAAGATCCCAGGTGTCCTCACCGGGACGCGAACCGCCAACCTTTATGCTGCGAGGCAACAATGCCAACCAACGAGACACCTTGACATTTTCAAATGTCTAAATATAAATATGTTTTTCATTAAAAACACTAAATTACCTGGTTAGAAATTACTTTCACGGTGTTTTAACCTACAAAAAACCCAATTAGCATAAATTCTTTTGTGTGTTTCCCTTGTTCAGATCCAGAACAGACGCTATGAAGCCATCGTCAAGCGCCTCCGCTGCCAGCTAAGCAGGGCCCAGGCTGCCCACAGGTAAAACTAAATGCAAATACGCCAGAAAAAACCCCCCACAAAAACTGACATCATATGATAGTTATGCACAAATACACAAAGAAGTTTGCTCTTTGTGGCAAAATGATGCTTGAGCTTTAAAATACAGGAAAAAAGAAATAGATAAATATGTCTAATTTAATAAAAATGACACGCCAATTGTTTACTGCAATCCAGGCAGTTTATCAGTAATATCACCAACACTTTTCAGAGTGTCTTTTTTTGTTTATGCTAATTTAATAGGATGTTATTTGGATGCCTGTGTCTGCTTTAATTAGGCAAATGTCTGATGACGTGTACCACATGAAGAGGCAACTGGCTGAGCTCAAGAGGCTGTCATCACACAACTGAGCGGTCAGTGGTCAGTACACTGTACATTCAGGCTCTTTGAATTTGGGTCAGTTGTTCTGTGTTTGGCATAAATCTGAGCCTGTGTGTGCGTGTCAGCTGAAGGAAAGGTTGTTGTTGTTACTGGAGTTCAACAGCTGGGGGCAGCAGTCTCCACTAAATGTCTGACTTCATCTTTTAGACAGCAGTTTGACACCAGATTATAATGATTATGATGAATATGTTCCTTGAAATGTACAAGTTTGGTCAAGAAAGAAACCACAAGTATAAAGATATTTGTCTCTTGTCACAACCGTTTTGATTTCCTCTGACAACAGGACAGCGTGCAAGAGTGCGTCACTTTATTTGGATCAGGGGCAGCAGCATCATCAGCAGGGTGTGTGATGGGATTTTAGGTCAGATGGTGACAGTGAATCAGTCCGTCCGCAACGGCGTCCCGCGCAAAAACAAAAGCCAAGTGTCCACTCAAACTGTCGGTGTTGTTTTGGTACGCGCTGTTCCAGCTTCCGCTTCGCCGGGTCGCTTGATGGTCGCGAGGTGACATTCCCACTGTCGGCTAACAAGGGCGTGACTGTGCTACTTCAGCCATAACCCAGAACTAATTAAACGATGAAACTGCCTTTTTAGAAAAATTACTCCACGTCAGAGCGAAGAGCATCAGCCTCTGAGGAAAGTCTACATGGTGCGATATCGAATGTATTTCCTTAAATTGCATGTTTTTCAGCTTTATTTAGTGTTGGAGCGTTTATAAAACAGACATACAGCCAGAAAAAAGTCATAGAAATTCATCTAAATTCTGTAAACGTGGATTTTTATGGATAAAGACCAAACTATAGCAAATCTGATTATAATGTGAATCTTGTTCTACAAAAACAGGACAACATTTCAACCCCACAGATTCATTCTTGAGTATTTGTGGTCAAAATTATTGTCATATCTGTGTAGAACTAAGCATTAGACATCACTGCATGGGTGCTTTTTTTGTCTTTTTGTGCAGATTATCGAGGGTTTTAAGCTTAATCTTACATATTAGTCAGCCGCTAAATAACAAACGGAACAGTGTGATATTAACAACAAAGTATTTATTAGATTATTTGTGAGAAAAGCAAACAAACGATGCCTTAATTTACGCCCAGGAACTCTGTGAATGTGCTGGAGGTAAAGGACAATGTGTGATTAATTACCTAAAAGAAAGGATTCAGCTGTAAAGTGTAGTTTAGTGGGCCGTTTCTTTAAAGGTGAGCTCAGAGAGTTTCATCCAGCCCGTGCTGCTCTGTCTGACTGACCTCATTAGCGTGTCGTCAGCCCGTCCCGTTGACGCCGCTCAGCCTCGGGCCTCCTTGACTCAAAGTGCCCGAAACATCCTCTCGGAAAGGACAGGCCTGTATAAATAGAAAAATGCTGCAGTGAATTTACATTCCCCTCATTACCGCTGTACAGTAGAGCCACATGCCTGTATACTCGCAGTGACCTTTAAAAAGAAAACACATTTCTTTTCTAGCCTTGATTCCCTCTCAGTTTGTTGCATAATCATAAACTCCATTATGATAATGGTGGATGAATATAATGTTCCATCGTGGCTCGCTGCTGTTATAACGAAACGCGGCCTGTTGTTTGTTTCCACCACAGTGATGCAAGTTATATGCATTGTCGAGCACGTTGTGTTACATAACAAGGGCCTTTTACACGACGAAGCGCAGCAAGCTCCTTTGTAAAAAAAACTCTTCAAATAAATGCCATTCATATGCTCTCACTCCAAGCTAATTAAGCCAAGCTAATTAGGGAATGAATTTAACACCAGCCTTCTACCACATGCTGTTTTTTTTTCCCTCTATCTTTGGCATTTCGTCTACTACACGTTGGCATCGACTGTCACTTGAAAATACACTTGGCTGATTAATAGAAGAGGAGTTTGGGGATTTACCAGCCAGTGGGAGCTTAAAACTGAAGAACGTGAGTCATTTTGGAGAGCCTTTTTTCCCAGCGAAACACACAAAACAGTCGACTTTATTCACCCTTAAAGGCTATTTTTACATCAACTACTTCAGCATCCTGCAAAAACATCCTCTTGTCGAGACAAAAGCTAGCCCTTGAATCTGTGTTGTGCTAAAATCATTAAATTAATTTGCGGCTCCTTTGCCTACGAGACACACCTCTTCGACCGTGTGTTCACCTTGTGTTGGCCTTTCGATGGAGGAATGTGCCAGCAAAACATGCTTGGCATGCTTTGACATCGACTGGGAAGCTCTGTGCAGAATGGCCAGGCCCGTTTCTGTCATCTTACAGTATTTATGAACATTGCGACACAATCAGGCCGATACAGAAAGCAGGTAGTGAAAGCTCAATGCAAGAAGAGCCGCCGTTTGTCTAAAGTGAGCATGCATGTCATTTAACAGCAACAGTTGGATCGAAGACAAGACGTGTTTGCACCTCCTCCCATGTATGTTCGGCATTGAGGTGGGGAAACAGTTGTGTGTTGGACTGCGTGTAATAAATTCTTGGACTCCTGCCACTGTAGTCGAGGTGTATTTACCGCAGAGTTTGGCAGACTCTGCTGAAACGTAGCGATAAAAAAAAACATCTGATGCACGGTGAGAGTGTGTTTTTGTGGTTGTTTGGATGTGGACATCATCTAATGGACATTCCAAAATGTATATACACGCACCTGTTCCTGTTGGCTGGTTTCCCATCGCCAGGAGACACATTTAGTGATTTTATCTTACAGGTACAATTAATCTTTTGCGTGCAGGTGCATACCGGCGCGTTAGCTCTCAAACAAGTCTTAGGCTAATCCCCCGCTTATGAAAACTTTACGCCTTTTTTTAAGTGTCGTCACTCGCCACTATTGGACGGATCGCATTCCGTACAGATTTATTGCCGTCGCTCCACCTTTAACAAATTGTGCTCGGATTGCTTTTCTCAGCAAAGCACAATAAGCGTATATAAACTGAAAACTAAACTCAGTAAGCATATTTAGCGAGTTAACCTCCTGCTCTCATAGACTGTATATAAAAGATGAATGTCACCCCTACGAGTCTGGCATGTGCACATCGCCATCTTAGTCTTACGTATTGCTCTGCTGTTGTAAAAGGAAGCGTGACAACGCTGTGGGATCGTCTTCCTGAGAGGATACGACTCTAATATCTCTCCATTCAATATGATTAGACTGGAGGCAAAACCTCAACAGGATACAGCACGTTAAATAGTGAGCAATAGAGGTGCTGGTGCGTAGACTTTTGTTAATCTTTTAGCAGAGCAAGGCTGGCTGTTTACAATCTAATCCAAGCTAACAGCTGCGCATTAGACATGAGAGTGGTATCAGTTTATTCATCAGCAGATCTCACAAAGTGCTGAAAAGTTTCCTCACTAGATCTTTGGTTTAAGCTGCACCCGACTTTAATTTTTTTAAAAAGCGGCACATGGCAGGTGGCTTTGTTTGGTTTTGGCTGCGGCGTGAGTTTTGAGATCTAGAAAACTCAGCGAAAGTGATTATTGAGTTCTTAAGAGTACTCCAACAATTTGTCAGTTGGCAGAAACTTAAACAACAGTTTGAGTCCAGGACAAACAGAAACATTCTTTAGTTCCAGCCTTTTAAATGTCAAGATGAAACCATGTAAAGCCTGAAAGGATTCAATTTGTTATGGTAAGAGAACAACTAAAGCAGACTATATCCCCGTTTGAAAAGCTAAAAATGTCAGATTTTGCCTTTTTTGTACGCCTTATGCTCAATAGCAGACAACAAAATCAGTTTTACCACATGGTTAATGCCTCTACACTGCTGCCAGGTGTATTTTCTCACCTGCACAATCTGCAAATCGTACTTTTATCACAAATCAATATTGTTTTAGCCCCTTCTACCCTCTACAACCCTTTGATCGACAACTCCCTAACAAGTGTGGTTCCCACCCTGAGGCCAGACTCCCACCCAGTAGCTGGCGAGTGGTGGGTTTCACCTCACCTCAGCTGGCTGTGTGTGTGTGTGTTTGTGTGTACACAATCAGCTGAGCTGTTGTAAGGATACACACACCAGAGCAACGTTGTCCTCTGTGACAACAGCAGCTCTCCCCACAGCAGTTCACACTGAACAAAAAGGTGGGATGAGTTTTTTTGAGAAAAAGAAACACTTGAGTAAATGCTCATCCTGCCTTCTCTCCAGCAGTCTGGAGAGATCACAGGATTGTTTGCTTTTCTCAGAAAGATGAACAGTTTCAGTATCAATTCCCAGGGAAACCGATATTTCACTGCTGCCGGTAAACGTGACACCGTGGCTTTCCCGCTTCACAGACCTCCTGGCAACAGCTTACCGTCAGCCTACAGGGACCTGAGAGCTTATTTACTTTCTTTTGTTTAAGTATTTGCTGTCTCTGTACTGTAATCCAGTTGGGTCTGTTTCACAAAGCAGCAATCGTGATTCATGAGTCAGGTCTGTCAGCGCGGGGACGGTAAGCGTACACTGTGGCTTGTGTGTGGATAAGCAAATTAAAAAGAAGTGAGGAGGGGATATCCCTCAGAAGGAGCGCTGGACTCAGGGGAACCGCTGTGACTGTAATTGCTCCCGTTGGTCCTCGTTAGACTAAACAGCAAGTCATCAGCTTACCAGTTTACTGACAACACCTGCTGACTTGTAACCAGCTTTAAACAAACAGGCCTATTCCTGTCGCCTGAAAATAATAATTGTCTCCAAGTGATTCACTGATGACTAAAATTTTCCTTTTCTCGTTCTAACTTTAAACAAGCCCACAGGGTGCGCTGCGAAGAGCTGTGCCCTTTTTCTCGGCGTCGAGCACAGGTAAAGGTGTTCGGCGGCGCTGTTTCGGGGTGTGGGTGCGGCAGCAGACTGAGGAATGTTTTGATTTGCACAGACATGACACGATCCTCGGTGGACTGCGACTTTGCGTGAGGAATGTGGGATGAGAGAATTTAAGGGCATGACGTGGCTAAACGACCGCTCGACTCCAGGAAATAGCCCCGGCCCAAAAATAGATGTAATAAAAGAAACCTTCAACCCACAACTAAGCATGTAATGGAGCTCCACCCTGTTATGCACCTGAGCAACGCAAACAAACACGCTCATACACAGGCTTTGAAGTCCTCGTATCCACGCCAGAGCAGTTTCTAAAATCCAGATTATGACTCTCTTTGTAT